GTACTTAGTTAAAGTAGCATCTAATTTGCCTTTGGTACAATTAAGTTGATTTTATTGACAAAGAAAAACAGACAAACATTTAGGAAAGTATCCATTTTGAGTACAGATAAGTGCAGCAAAATGACCACATCCAAATAACCAAATATGTTGTGTATTATTTGGGTGGGTTTAAAAAATTGCCAATAAAAATTGAAAGCGGCAGGTAACTTTCATATAAAACTTACATTTAAGATTAAATGTTTTTAAAATTTTCTTAGATTATACTTATATTGTGACAAGCAGTTAACTTCCTTTTACATTTCCTGTAAACACATTTCTATTTAAATACTGAATAAAGAAATAAAATGAAGAGAATATGACACAATAGTGACCTTAATGCCAATATGCTCAACTCAAACCCTGTAGCTGATCAGTCTAAATAGGGCATATATGAAATGCATTCTAGTTATAGTCAAATGATAGCTCTATTAATGAATCTTTTGAAAATTCAAAGAGGGGTTATAGGGCTTTTTTGCTCATGTCAACATATTCTGTTGCCACTAAATGAAGGTTTAGATGGGTAAATGTGAAATATGAATATAATGTCAGCAAAGATGCACAAAGCATGCAGTAGACTCTCAGATCTCTTTGTCACTGCCATCTCCTGTATTTGAAGATAATACATAAGTTGTATTTGATTCTCCCATATCTCTTGACAGTGTACTTGATAGATGCAAATAAACAAGCATTATTTGTGGTTTTAAATTTATGCATGAACTTCAAATGATGGAAAAATAAATCGGCAATCGCTTTAACATTTATATTTGTTGGAAATCTAAATGGAACAAGTGTGTTGTTGAGGGAGAGCCAAGAAGAATTACGGCGGAAACTGCAAACCAAGGAGAAAATCGACTTAATGCCATCATATTTTCACCCTATTCATGCCTAAGAAAAAAGGGTTAGGCAAAGAGATTAGGGTACATATCTCCTGTCAGCCACTGATGCGACCAAGTGGAGAAGTTTACCTCAACACAGCAATGATCAAACAGACATCCCTTTACAGACATGCTTCATAATCTCATCGCGCATTGTCCCAGCGCTCTATTTTGACTTACAGGTTTCGCTGGAAAATCTTAGACAGGGGCAGATTAAACGTGTGATGAAATGTCTGCGAAATATGTGAGAAGGCGCAACACTGGAGGATGCTTGATTCTCTACCCACATGATGAACATAATGACTATTAGTAACACATAAATATGATAATTCAAAATCTAAACACGTTTATCGGGCTCGTATTGGAAATCATTGCAAATCTCATGGCATAGTTTTATGTGTAATTAAGAGACAGAGAGGGGAAAGAGTGTGTAGGCCTTTTTCTGTGGAAATGTGTGGAAAGTTTAGGGATAAGTGAGATGTGATCAGTAAAGTGTGGGATACGGGTTTTTTTTTAATTCCTGTGAGCTAGTTTAACAGCAGTAATCCTTCCAAATATAGACAGAAGTATTTCATTCTCTGAGGAAAATAATTATTCAAATACCCCTATAAGTGTAAATCCCATTAATTTAGTGCATGACACAGTTTTTGATTTCATAAAACAAAAAACGCGGAAGAATCCAGTAAACATTACAATCTGTTGTCTTATTTGGGTAATCTGCCTGCTTGCTGACAAGTAAATAATAATCAATACAAATAGTTGTGAAGTGTCTGAAAATAGACAGGCGATTTAAACTGTAACTAACAGGCATGCATTTTCCAGCTGCAGAGCAGTGTTGAGGAAATGACACTGGCTTTGATGGGTTGTATAGCTTTTGAGATGAGCCTCTTTATGCCGCTTGCAGTTCCATTATGGCTTTGTTCGAAAGCTTGTTTACCTGCTGATAACATACACTGGTGGATTCAGGAGCGCCGATCCAAAATCTGCTGCCAAAGTCACTCAAGTCTCATTGTGCTGCGGGAGGGGAAGAATGAAATGTTTATGCGGAGGGGGGATGCAAAAGCTAAATGTGAAATCAAACTATGGGACCAATAAGGGATCAGAACAACTTTGCCAGATTTTATTTTTAGCCCGGTTGCAATGCTTGCTTAGTGTAGCTCACTTCTTTTTTGCCTCTGTGCATGTATGTACTTAGTTTGGAAAGAAAGATGAAGCAACTGTCATGTAATCAAGCATTATTATGCGCCTTTAAACACGATTATAGCAGCGTAGTTCGAAATAAATGGCTGCCTATCAAATCTTTGCACTTGGATTGCACTGTTAGAAAAGCTATGCTCTTGGGTCAGAGGAATAGCCCTTGGGTTTGCATATTAAACGCTTTGCTAGACCCGTGTTAGCGGCGCGTCTCCACGCAGGCAGGTCTCCAGGGGGCCAGCAGGGCCCCACAGACGGCCAACTAGGGGGCCAGGTGACCCTGTCTCGGAGGTTAGCAGGAAACACTAAAGAGGGATGGGCCGGAGCTGCGGAGCCACTGAGTGCGAGTGTGCGAGGCTGGTGATGGCAGCTGTCAGTGCTTTGGAAGGAGAAGCAGACAGATTGTGCGTTCTGTTGGTGCAGCCAGTTCGCCACCTGGCAGCCTTTTCCTTGTTAGAACTTCTTGCTGTTTCGGTTCTCATCAGAGAAATGTTTTTCCTCTTATCCTCTGTGTTCGGGGGGGAAGTTAAATTTGTCAAAATGTTTAAAGATGTTCAGTCAAATGCAATTGTTTAAAGTGCTGTTCAGTGCTTTGTGTGGGAAGGCTCAAAAAGAATGTTCTCTGTGAGTGATATAATTACAATAAAATGAAATTACCACATGCATAATTTGCAAATGAGAGAGGTACGCCTTGTTGGTTCTACTCAACTTCTGCTGCATTATTTTTTTTTTCCAGAATGGGGGAATGTTTTAAAGAGGGAGGATTAACTCGAGAAAAAAAAAACTGTAACTTTCAAATCCCATCAGAGCAGTAAACACTGCTCAGTGTTGTTTAGTTGTTAGGGGTAAAAAATGCAAACGTAAAGCATGAACAGCTTAAAAGTACATTTAAAAATCAAATTTGGCAGTCGGTCCTTGTTCCAACAGGATTAAAAAAAGTCTTTCATTTGATATAAATATATGCACAGAGAGTGGTGTGGTGATCTGCGTGCCAGAGGTGGCGCTTTACTCTGGATATTCTGGCTTGGGCCTGTAAGGGACATAAATTACCATGAATTAACACATGCATGCAATAAGAAAATAATTAATTCAAGTTATCAGTCACCTCTTCCATTCCAGGAATCTGATTGACAAGATAAAGTAATGTGCAAACTGCTTTTCAAAGCTAACAGCCTGGAGCACCCCTCCTATTAGTTAGTCATTCCCTCAGTATCACACCCGGAATCTGTCATTTCACAATTTTCTCCTATAATGCATATGTGCCGCTCTCACCACTCCACTACAGCAACTGCCACCTAACAAGTTGACACAGAGAACGACACAATTCACGTCCAGTATTCGCTTCCATATACAGCAAGCATCTCAGGCAGACGGGTCAAGAATATGGCACATTCTGTTCACTCTCAAAAACGCTTTTCCAGGATCCTCAGCAAGCTCTAGTTGTGTCTTAAGTCCAGTGCAATCTAATATATATATATACAGTATTATCATGATTCTAATGTGTAAAAATATACAAATCAAAGTATCTGCTGTTTATGAGGCATTTTAATAGGATCCTTAACCAGCTCTAGTCACATTTTAAGTCCAGTGTAAAGAAAAAATATATATATATACAGTATTATCATGATTCTAATGTGTAAAAATATTCAACGCTTTGTTTCATATTGAAGTATCGGCTGTTTATATGAGGCATTTTACTGGTTAACATACTGGTTAATAGAGACCAGTACAATCTAAATATACATGTAAAGTACATGATTCTGTGTGTATTGATTGAAGAATTTGATGTTTATGAAGCATTTTAATACTGGTTAATATTTTTTTAATAGAGACCACGAGCCTACTGTGAATTCAAGAAAGTAATTTGAAAATATCAGAACGTGGGTAATTATGGATTGATCCAAAACAGTATTTATCTTAACTATACTTTTCTGAACTATTTGTAAAACTAATAAATAACTTGTGCTACGGCAGTGGCCCTCACATTACAGATTGATTTCTTCTTTTTCGAACAATCTGGTATTGTATTTTACTTTGCATAATGATGACTTGCTTACATTTGAGTTTTTATAAAAATGTCAAACTCAGAAATAACGTTATTGTGCATTTTAATGTAACCATTTAAGGTTGTAAACTCAATTGATTGACTTGATTAAACTTTACATTAGACGTTAAAGGGAATTAGCCTTATGCCGTCTTTTCAGATCTCTATTACCAGGATTGCCAAAGCACATTATCTGCTGCGTAGTGTCCAGTATAATTAATACTTAACACAAGATACAAGCCCTAAAATTAGATTTAGATTTGGGTAGATAGATCCTTCAATACTTATAGATCAGAACAATTATTTCTGTTTTATGTTAATGATTTGTGGCATTTTTTGTCACCTTCAGACATATAGATAAAGATATTTTAAAGGTACGCTACCACGAGTTAAACAAAAGTCAGGAATATTTTTACAAGCAAGACTGAAAAATATAAAAATATAACTTGTAAACTAAAGATGTAATTATCGTATTGTTTAATCCGGATGGGAAGTGGTCTAAGATAAAACAATGCAAACCTAAAATCTCCGATCCGAGTTTCAAAAAAGTTGCATTGTGGACAACAGCGACTCTGTGAGCTCAGTACCATCCCGCCCCAGTCCCGGTGGACCCTCAGGCCGGACGGGGAACTGCCATGACCCCTGCACTCCCCCCCCAACACCACCACAGCACCACCACCACCACCAACCCCCCCTTGTGTCACACTGAAAAGCTATGTGTTTTGAATGGACAGCGTTTTCCTTTGTCTGTTCGATCAAAACACACAGAGGCCAAAGTTAGTCAGCAAGTTGCATAGTTTCTGCATTCTCTGATTCTTCCAAGCCTCTTTTGTATGAAGTTAGACACAATGTTGTACGCAGTTTTCGACCTGCACTGGCTGCTGGCGGTAAGAACAATTTTACACAACAGAAAAAAAAACAAGCTTCAGTGTCACTTTTTGCTATCACGTATTCATTCATGTTTTTTGCGCCGTGAAGTGAAAATGATCATAGGAAGCTAAAACTCCGTGGCTATAATACACAAAATGACAGAGTGCAGGCTTGTTGAAATATTTATACGCTTTTATCTGATCTATTTCCTAACAACGAGGTATTTGCCTGTGAATCCCTGGCACTTTTGATATTACCTGAAGGCAAATGGTATATAGATTTATACAAGTTATTTACAACAACAGCCAAGCCATTCCTCTGAAAACTAGGCTGCAGATCAAAGGATTGTTTTGATCTCTACTTAGCATATTTGTTTAACCTAGCCAGTGATTCTGAAAAGTGCACAAGCTTTTCGGTGATATGCAGAGCACCCTTTATCCCTCTTTTTCTTCTGTTAGCTGTGGATTTAAGTACTTTCTGTATTTAGTAGACAACTGGATTTGCCAGCTTTTGAAATTTAGTTGCCCACTGCTAGGAGACTTGGCACTCTGAAATAGATAGCTAGGTACGTTCCACTGCTAATCCTGATCGGCCTTGTAATAGTATTTGCGGACTGTACAGCACTCAATTAGGGCATAATGTGCTATTTTTGTTTCCTTTAACGTGGATTAAAAGTGAAAACATGGTTGTTTTTTCCACATTTTGCTGGCTGTTTACTGCGGGGGTACTTTGCTAAACTATTGTTTTACTGTTTCAATCAGTGGCACTATTTCCACATAGAATTGTAAAATGTCAGGAGAGAGACAATGTCCAAGCACACTCAAAAAAAATATGCCAGGACAATCAGGAAATTTTCTGGAATGCTTAAGAGAATGCATATGCACACAATGCCCTAATTCTCTCTTACTTTGGGGTTGTGCAAAGATGAGCCCAGGTTCATTGAGAGCCAAAAAAGGGGGCAGATGGCTCACAAGAGGGATAAACCTGGGAAGTCATGCTGTAAATGTGTTTTACAGAAAACAATGAAAGGAGCGGACAAAGCGATTGTGGCAAAGTCCTTTGGAAAATGGAAAAGCGCCTCTCTAAGGTCCAGTACCATGGAGAAGCCGGATGAGCCTTCCGAGGAGAGTGAGGAGGAAGCCCCCCAACTCGGCACCATCCCAGCCGGTAAAAGTCCACTCCACTTCCTTATAACACCTCCGCCCCCTGTCTCCTTGCTTTTTCTTTACAAGGCCATTTTAATTATTACTACCACGACTTGTTTATTTTCTCTTCTTTCTCTTTTTCTTGCATTTGTGACTCTGTGGCCTGCCATATCCGGTGAACAAACAAACCACATTGTTGGGCAGGAGAATTCCTTTTGAGGCAAAGTGTGTCTCCGATGATACAGTGTTGCCAGAAAAAGACAAAGCAAAAAATAGCAAACACAAAAACAGTCACAGGTGCATGGGAAAAGGAGAGACGCGAGTGAATGGTCAGCTCGGTCCCCAGGAGGTCTTTCAGTGTTAGCCAGTGCGGTGGGTGGACTTCTGACAAGGACGCTGGTGCTCGGCCAGGTGGAGTGTGTAACTGAGAATGCGCCTGTTTATTCTTTTCACATGCTAATGCGGCTCCTGTGCCACTTTAATGCGGCAAAACTTTTCTTTACAGTTCACATTTTTGTTGTTTTCCAAAACCTGCTCTTGTATCACAGTAGTGGGTTGATTCAAAGCCTCTTATCCCTTTTTTATACAAGTTTGGGCCTCTGCCAGGGATGCAGATATAATACATAGGCTGTACGTATATAGAGAAGAACAGTGTGACGTTAATTCAATGCACGTTTGGTTTTAGCTTCACTATTCATTCCCATTATTAATCATTTGAGCATATTATAAATATCAGACACATTGTTCCTTGGTGTTGAGTCATATGGTATGGCAGTATGAAGACACAGAACAGCCAGGTCGGCTCCATATTGTGAATGAAATGTTCTCACAGGTTCTTGGTGATATGTTGCACAGTCGTCAATGTTATGAAATGTACACGATAATGTATTTTGATACATTCATCATGTGCCTGGAAGACATAGGCTCAAACTGAACACAAATGCACCCCTTTGTGGACAAAGTAAGTACAGTGGGACGAAAGGGTTGTTTTAAAATTAATAATGGAATTTATCTCAAAATAATGTACTTGTATTCTGTTTCATCAGAAAAAAATATAACAAGTATTTATATTTTTTGTTTATTCTGTCTTTTAATTTTTATCTTTTTCAAAGTGAAACTGAAATTGTTTAGGTGCACATTAAATGAAGTTGTTCATTTTAGGTTCCACCCTAACCCAAAACATATTTGTCATTAATTAGAAAATAATGGTATTTATATTAATTATTTAATTATAACCAAAAGGTCAAAATATATATGCAGCATTCAAATGCCTTTATTTAGATGTAACAATCAATCGCAGTCATAAGTATGTCTAGCTTTCGAAAAGCCTGACCGTTAAAGATTTTTTTAAAATTCATTAAAGGCTTTAAATTTACCATAAAAATTTGATTATTATTATTGTTTAAGTAATTGTATTATTAACCTGACAAATGCTGCCACACATGCCCACAGGTGCCATGACAACAAACTCATTTTGTATATGTATTTACTTATACAATTAGCCCCACATTGCCATAAACAGTCTGAAACCTTCATTAGTGGTTCATAAGGCTGCTAGTGTCTAATCTGGGAGCACAAAAGAGCAATATGGCCGCACACTATGGGCCTTTCCATACCTTGTAGAGTATGTTCTGTAAATAGCTTCAAAGGCATTGCATCTGCCATCTGCACTTCTAGGAACTCTTCTGCATAACCATTAAAACAAGCTGTCTCGGAGGACACCATTCGTATTTCAGCCTCAACCCTGAATTACTGCGTGTTCATTATAATTATAAGGGAGGAGTGTTGCCAGGCCCGACCGCAGAATGCCAGGTGCACACTTCCATATTCGAACCATTCGAAACAACTCACCACATTAACAACAGAGTCTACAGCCATTAGTTAGCTCCAAACAGCAACAACATGCAGAGGGGAAGTGCAATACTTTGTAGTGCTCCCTTTTGCTAAGCCTGCTTAGGTTACGCGACTGAGCCATGCTGCTGTGTGAAATTTTATCCCGATACTGGCACTGTATCCTTGTGAGGGAGTCTTGTAAAATAGGTTTACTTAGCGCCTTTGCTGGCATTTTCCGAAGATAGCAAATGCTCAAACACTGTCCATGATCGGATTAACTGTTCGACAAAATGATGTAACTCTTTGTCTTTCTTGTGTGGCGCAGGTTCCTCCGCTTTACAAGTTATAAGTGGTCAAGTCAAAGAGGAGCCATGCAGGCAGGTTTTTTGTACCACAGTGGAGTTGTATGACAGATGACAGGCTTGGTAAATCATGTAAATCATCCTTGTGACATTCGTGTAATGTGTGAATCATTCCCCAAAAAGATCCTCCAGATTCAACCTGCACATCATGTACTATTCTTAATCAAGTCCTCATTGGAGCGGCGTTTAATTCTGAACTTTGCCTGCGCTCCCCTCCAGGACTGAAATCGCATGTGATAAGTGTGAAAGATTTTTCGAGCACCCATGTACAGTAGAAAGTGTGCGATGCCAAGTCCACGCAAAACGGGAATTTGCACCTGAGGACATATAGCTATACATCCAAAAGTCACTAGGTATGTCAAGAGGAAATGTTAATTGCGCAATTTATGAGGAATCAGCTGAAATATCTCCACGGATCTTGCTTATTTACATTTTAATTACTACTATTACTTATTCTTATTTTTGGATGTGACCATAGCAGCCCAATTCCTCCGTTAGACTAGAAAGAAGCAAAATGACTGTTTTCCACTGGAGGTTTAGATGCTTGTTTATCACTTTTAAATACCATCATCTTTGCTGAAATCCCCTCTCAAAAGAACCTTTCACTTGCTGGAATAAATTCAAATTAAAATTTAAATCCCTCTTTGCATTTCTTCAGCCTTTTTTAAAATAGCTGCCTCCTTTTAGAAAGCTGTTTATGTAGTGATCTGTTCATAATCCAGTTTGTTTCTCAACAGCGAAAAACACAGAAATCGTATTATCACTATCTTGGAGAGATGATGCGAGAAATCAGGAAGTATAAATGTCTGGATCTGGGCAAGTTTTTTAAAGTTGGACTGTTTTTCTATAAAGTACATAGTGATGTGACTAACAGAGAGACAAATAAGGATAAGAACAATGTATTTTCACAACTTTGGAGGCAAAATATAAAAATAATCTTGTTTAACTCAGAACCCAATATCCAACTTAGTTTTAATTTAAAGAAAGACAGAAAGGACATTAGCTTATACATATTCATTACGTTATGGAGATGTGGATTCCTATTAATAGATTTTGACTTCTGTTGTGTCCACTCATTTGCAGATAGCATGGAGAATATAACCATAAAACAGGAATTGAACGATAATGAACTTTTTGCGTCATGATTATAATGCTCAAATTAACTGTGTGTAAAGATAATGTCACAAAAATTGCTGTCATGGTTATTAATATTCACAATATTATTATTAGTATATTCCATATTTAAAGAACTATTTTACTTAGTTATAAGTGAAAACAACAACAATCTATAAAATAATTAATGAATATGCTACGTTTTTCTACGCAATCTGGTGGCATATTTATTATTTATTTATTGTAATTATTATAATGGTTAGCAATTATCACAAGTATACACAATTGTCCCATCCCTACTATTTTATTGCTTTTTAAAAATCTATGAAAATGTAATTCTCATGCTTTAAATTATGTGTAGCCAAAAAACAAACAGTGCACCACAGTAGTGTGTCCCAAGATATGTGAATGTAATATGAGAGTTTAGAGGCAGGGAAATACTCACAATTACAAGTACATGTTTATAGGTTGAACTGTGAGGAGTATATATGAATATATAAATGATGAAATGTAGTTAATCATTTATGAAACAAACATTAGTCTAAACATCAGCGGAAAAAACATCTCTAGTGTGCTATTATCTAGATATAACATACAATTTACATGTTTATAGTTATAGTTCATATATTATCTAGCTATAACATACAGTTTACATGTTTATAGTTTTGTTTATATATTATAAAGTTATAACATACATCTTACCTGTTTATAGTTATAGTTTATACATTATCAAGTTAGAACATACATCTTATACATTTATAGTCATAGTTTATATATTATCTATTTATAACATACAAGTTACATGTTTATAGTTTTGTTTATATATTATCTAGTTACAACATACAGCTTACACATTTATAGTTCTGTTTATATATCATCAAGTTATAACATACAGCTTACATGTTTATAGTTATAGTTTATATATTATCTAGTTAGAACATACAGCTTACATGTCTATAGTTTTGTTTATATATTATCAAGTTATTGCATACAGCTTACACGTTTATAGTTATAGTTTATAGCATATAGCTTAAACGTTTATAGTTTATATATTATCTAACATATAGCTTGCACATTTATAGTTATAGTTTTTAACATACAGCTTACATGTTTATAGTTTATATATTATCTAATTATACAGCTTACACATTTATTGTTTGTATATTATCTAACATATAGCTTACACATTTATAGTTTATATATTACCTAACATATAGCTTACATGTTTATAGTTACAGTTTATAACATATAGCTTACACGTTTATAGTTATAATTTATATATTATCTAGTTACAACATGCAGCTTACATGTTTATAGTTTAGTTTATATATTATCAAGTTATAACATACAGCTTACATGTTTATAGTTATAGTTTATAACATACAGCTTACACGTTTATTGTCATAGTTTACATATTCTCTAGTTATAACATGCAGCGTACATGTTTAGAGTTATAATTTATATACAACTCAAATTACAGTTCACAGACACACAAAAGTCCTGGGTTTTCACATGTTACCAATCACCACTAACTTCCTCTATTGCATGTGGATTGCTCAGACTGAAGTGTTGTACTAATTTGAAGCCTTATCACAAGATTTGTCGCAAAACAGCCTATCAAGTGAAAATAATAGGAAAAGATTAACCCTTGGCTTTGTATCTGACAAGTCACGGATCTTGTAAACAGCTCTTTTCAATCTTAGGAGTGCACCGA